ATTCAGTATATGCCAAATACATAATGATGGACTTGAATTTTTCTGTCAAAGCACCTCAGTGTATTTGTAATTTAGCAAATTCCGAATATCTGAAGGCATGTTTTAAAATAAGACTTCAGAGCTTGCTCCAGGTTTTTCTTCCTTCTTATGCTCACCGCCTTGCACTTTCACTTCTCAGTTTTTTGTTTTTTTTTCCTGCTTTAGCATTTATTATGTCCTGCATGTACTACACTTACTCTCATATCTATTTAAGCTTGGTTCTTTGTTCTTTTTTTAGCCCTACCTATTAGGTCCTTTAGCTTTAATCATCCATGTCTGTTTCTATTAGATTGTTTCCCTAAGGACTCTGTAAGTGAAACTGATTCAGATTTTACAGCCCTAGTGATTTTCCTTCTGGTGTACAACCCTGAAGATGCTATACTTCACAGGAGCTGATGAATCATTTTGTAGGACTTTTGTTTTCTATTTTGTATTTGAAAAATTAGGCATGACCAGGAACATGGGATTGTCTCCTAATACCATGAGGATAATACAACCATAAAATAAAATCATCCATGTTAGCTTTGGTCTCTGAAAAAAAATGCATTATATTGTGATTTTGAACAAACTGAGCTCCCCAGAGAACATTCATTCATGTAAAATTTCACTTCTGTAAATTTTTGCTGCTTGTACTGGAAGCTAAAATTACTCTGCACCTGCTGCTAGTGTCTGGCATTGTCCTGGGGGCTCTACACCTGTTAAGCCATTAAATCATCACAGCGGGCTGGGAAGGTAGATCTGGATTCCCCCATTTTACTGAAAAGAGATGGGAGCTGAGTCTATAGAAATGACTTTTCTTGTGCCACCCAGCTCAACGTTGGAATTTGATTCAGTTTGCTTGGCCTAACCACAGCGGTCTCCCTAATTGAAGATAGACATGGGACTGTACTAAGGCTTCCTTTTGGTTTGAAACATTGATTCGGATGAAAAATGAATCCAAGTGCCGTAGGTTGAGATGGTAAGCCGCTGGGAATCAATTCAGCTCAGTACTGAGCACACTCTTTGGCAAGTTCCCAGGCTTCTGTCACATAGTTCTGCCAGATAAAGGTTTGCCCTGATCATCCATAATTTCCTTTCTCCATAGTATTATTCCATTGTAAGGGAATGAATTGTGGGAAGATGAATTCACATGGGGTCATAGTATATATTTCCTCCAGCTTGTTTGAGGCATGGTTATTTTATCTTCTAATTTTTGGCATTTGATTCAGGGCCCAAAGCTGGGCTCTTGGCTGGGGTCCAGCCTCTGCCATTTGTTCCTGCTTCTCCTTCCCATTACATACCTCCTCACTGATGTTTGCTCACATTTTATTACTTAATTCGATCCTTCTCCTCTTCAGTCTATCCTAAACGTTTCCAATCATAGTAATTTTTTCGAAATACTAATTTTACCTAAAGTACTGCTACGCTTCATACTCTGATGTCACTTATAATAATAATCTTGAACTGACAAAATTGCAGAGATGGAGAACTGATTAGTGGCTGCCTGGGTTTAGGGATGTAGGGATAAAGGCAGATAGGTATGACTCTAAAGAGGGAGATGTTGAGTGATCAAATGGTTCTGTGTCTTGATTTGCGATAGTGGGTACATGATGCAAATGTGAACAAGTGACATACATACTAATGTCGATTTCCTCCTTTTGATATTGTACTGTCGGTACATAAGATGCAATCAGTGGAGAAACATGGGACTTCTCTGCACCATCTGTGTAACTTCACGTGACTCTATAATTATTTAAAAATAAAAAACAAAAAAAAAGCCTGCTGTGCTTTAAAATATTCAGATTTCTTGGTCTGTCATATTCATCATATTTCATATTCTTTGTTTCCCTCTGAATTAATAATTTAGTCATGTTTCAGTTTTTTTCTACCTAAATCTTGTTTGGGATTAACACAGTGTTTGACTTTTAGCAGTTACCAAGAAATGCTTCTTGAATTAGTTGAACAATTAAATTTGCTTTATGAAAGAACCAGCATATCAGTGCTTGTTCTCATATTAACCATCTTTCTTTCCTGCTGTCCTCCTTATTTAGTCTTTCTTGTCCCTGACTAATTACTTTCCAAGGATTAGACAAACATGCCAGGGATTTGACTGGTGGAGTCCGGGAGACTTGGGCTTGTCTGGGAGAGTTGCATTGCCTGTGGTTAAGATAACAGAGTCCAGTCAAATTCTAAAAGGCAGTGGCTTTGAGGACTTAAGATTTAGTCTTTTAAGGACAAGATGAGCCAGGAAGGCCAGGATATAAACTAGTGAACCCTGAACATCTATGCATTCACATTTACTAGGACTAGTTTTATAGCCCAGTATATGACTTATCTTGGTGGGCATTTTACCCATGTGTATCTAAAGAGAAAAAGATAGTCTTTTGAATATCTTTTGTGGTTGTAATTTTCTATGAAAATGTATCTCAAATCATCTGTGTCTTTAATGATCTTTTTTTGGAGGGGAGAGCTTCTATTTCTCAGACTATGTTGAATTGTCTGTTTTTCTCTTTAATACTGTCAGGATTTGTCTCACGTGTTTTGAAGCTCTGTTATTAGGTACATACACATTTGTGATTATTGTGCCTTCATCCTGATGGATTATTCCTTTGGGTTGATTAATGAATGATATCATTATGAATGATATCTTCATATCTGTCTTGAGGTCTCTGTTATTAAACACTTCAGTCTTATGCTTCCCGTTTGCACGGTATATCTTTTCCATTTAAAAATTTTCAATGTACCTGTGTTTTTATTTAATGTGGATTTCTTAAAGACAGCATGGAATTGGATTTGGTTTTTAAAATCTATCTACCCATCTTTGCCTTTTATTCAACGTGTTTACTCCATCAGCATTTAAGGCAATTCTTGCTATGGTAGGATTCAGGCACTATTTAGTATTTGTGTTCTATTTGTTCCTCGTGTTTTGTTCTTCTCTTCTTGCTTTCTTTGGGATTAAAGGTTTCAGAATGATTTTAGAATTCCATGTAATTTATTATTGTCTTTAATCTTGTTTTGGACTTGCTCTAGGAATTATGATGTATATTCTTACAATTTCTTAGCGTTATTATTTAGGGTTAATATTATACCATTTCCCATAAGATTAAGGATCTCAAAGCTATATATGACCATTTAACCCTTCCCGCACATTTTTCTGTAACTGTCATGGGTACTACATTTACATGTTATAAATCACACAGTGCAGAATTTTTATGTTAAACACCCACGTGTATTTTTAAAACATTATGAGAAAAACAGTCTTTTATATTTTGTCAAACAAAGCATGACAGTTTCTGGTGCTCTTCATTCCTTCTGGGTATTCGAAATTCTAATTATCAGTCAGCCTGGAGAACTTTGTTTGGGATTTCTTATACTTTAAGTCTGCTGAGACATACTTCTACAGTTTTCCTTTATCTGAAAAATTCTTTATTGGCCTTCACTTTTGACAGATTTATGGCCTGGATAAAGAATTCTTGGTCCGTAGTTGTTACTTCCCCTTCCCCTCCTCCCGCCGCCGCCCCACTCAGCTTTTCTACTGTCCTGCGTCCTCTGTAGTTTCTTACAAAAACTTAACATTGATTCTTATTTCCCTGTATGTAATGTGTCTTTTGTTTCTCTTCTGTGAAATTTTTCTCTTTATATTTGTTTCTCAGCAGTATGACTATGTGTACCTGGGAGTAGATGTCTTTGCCATCCTGTTTGGAGTTTTCTGAGCTTCTTTAATTTACACATCTATGTCTTTGACCCAAATTTGGAGATTTTCAGCTTTATTTTTCTGCATTATTCTTTCTTTTCATCTTCTAAAGCTCCAATTATATAAAATATTTGCTATTTTGCTAGTGTCCCACAAGATCTTGATTGTCTCTTTGTATTTGTTTTTTTCTTCTTGAGATTAGATTTTCCTTCATATCCTTAACCATACTTATTTACTTTTTTAACATCGTTGAGGGCAAATCTCAACACGAGTGAAATTTTTTCTTAAAGTAGGTTCAGGTTTTTTTATTTGTTAATATGTCAAGTAATTTGGACTGTATTAACTTTGTGAATGATACTTTACATAGGCTCTATATTCTGTAAGTTTCTTCAAAGACAATTGATAATTTTTGGTCTGAACAGGTAGTTATTTCGGCTGAACTTGAACTCAGGTTTGACTTTTCTGTGACAAGTGGCAGCCCCACTGATCCATCCAAAAAGCTAATTCTGAATATGTGCTGTATATCATGCATATGTGTCTAGCATAGGTAACTGTGCTGAAAATACAAATATCAATGGACCTTAACTTCAAGTGACTTGCAATCTTGTTGATAAAGGAGAATAAACAAAGTATGACAGATCCCCATGTGTCATGAGATAAGTAAGAGAAACTGTGGGGTTACTGAGAATGGAGTTGTTAAAAGTGATTTTTGAAACAACCCAATCCTTCTGAGTACAAGAGGTAGTTTATTTACTATATATAGTGATGATGAGAGATTGGTTTATGAATACCTATTAGTTACACTGTCACCATTTTGTCAGTTCTTTAAAGGAAAGGACCTATTTCAAAAAGCACAGCATATTATGAAAAGGCAATATTAAAAGTAAATGTTTAAATTTATAAATGTTTAGATTCTTAAGTGCCATACTACATGGGAGAATACTTCATTTTTGGTAAGAAAAGATGATTTGAAAAAACCTATACAAACAATGTACATGGTTATAAAGAACTGAATTTTAGACACTGCTGAGATAAAAAGACCTAGCTATACTAAAAAAAGTATCACAAAAGATTTATATTACTATGTCATGTATTTAAAAAATCTGTAAGATTCCTGTGTCAAAGATCAAAAATGTTTTCTAATCCATTTTGATTTCTGTTTATACTTGTATCTGTATAAATTAATGAGTAACCTGGGGTTGGTTTTTTACTGTGTAAAAAGCATATCTACCTTAGTAGTAACTTGAGCCTGTCTTTTCTCTCCCCCTCCGCCAACTTGTTTTAACAGCGTATCCTATTCAGTACATGTATCTGAAGATTACCCAGGTATGTTTTTCTTCTTTTTATTACAAATATTTATGCCATGATTCCTTTGAATATTTTTTCTTCTGGAGATGTGAAATGTATATAAATATATCCAGGGATGAATCACTGGCAGGGGAAGACCTAAAGATATAATTCTGTTGATTGCTTGCTAGGTACATGTCTTACCCTGAGATGCAGTCCAGAATCAAAATGGTGTTCCTGTGAAAACTATTCTTTCTTTGAGTCCGTATGATAGTGTCAGCCTATATACTTACCTCATTATGGTTGAAATAAAGGTTGTCTAAACTGGTTTAGTTGTTGGTTTGGGGAAATCTCTTGGTTTTTTGTAACCTAAAAATAATATGTAGGAGCAACAGCTAAAATAATAGCTAAAAGTAATAGTAATAGTTGAAAATAACAGACCGTTCTCAATTTCCCTAAGTATATGTGTATGTGATAACATGCTCAGTTGTGTCCTAGTGTTTGTAACCCCAAGGACTGTGGCCCTCCAGTCTCCTCCATCCTTGGAATTCTTCAGGCAAGAATACTGGAGTGGGTAGCCATTCCCTTTCCTAGGGGATCTTCCTGGCCCAGGGATCGATCCTGTGTCTCCCACGTTGCAGGCAGAGTCTTTACTATCTGAGCCACTAGGGAAACCTTTCTCTAAGTGTGTATATAATTAAACAATTCCTACAACCACCCTATGAGATTGTTACCATAATGTCCCCATTTTACAGATAAATGATGATAGTGCTATTAAGAGGAAGAGCTGTAATTTGAGCCTGTGGACCGTACCTCTAGACTGTACTAGGTTTCTTACATATGCACAGCTGTCCTCCCTGTGTGTCCTGAAATAGATTAATATGTCCACAAACACTTGTGCGTAAAAAACAGAATGTAAAATCATCTGTAGATTCACTTTTTTATACATCAAATCAGTGTCTTTCTTCAAGGCCATGTTCAGTCTTACTTTCTAGACTCACTGTAATCTCACCAGAGCCCAGGATGTGTTTGCCAACATTTGACATAATAATTTGAAGATATGAACAAAATTTGTCTTTAGTTCTTTTCTCACAAATGATACGTATATTTTATCTTGAGCTAGATCCTGAGCACTGTAGACTTAGTGAGGATTGAATATGCCGTAATTAGAGCTTCCCTGCTAGCTCTGCTGGTAGACACCCCTCCTGCAATTCAGTAGACCCTGGTTCGGTTCCTGGGTCAGGAAGATCCCCTGAAGAAGGGATAGGCTGCCCCCTCCGGTATTCTTGGGCTTCCTTGGTGGCTCAGATGGTAAAGAATCCTTCGGTTCCAGGGTTAGGAAGGTCTCCTGGAGGGGGCATGGCCACACACTGCAGCATTCTTGCCTGGAGAATTCCAGGGACAGAGGAGCCTGGCAGGCCACAGTCCATGGGGTCGCGAAGAATCGGACACGACCGAGGAACTAACCACACAGTTCACCCCAAAAAGTATAATACTGGCATCTATTGTTTACCATGCACTGTGGAAAAGATCAGCAAATTTTATCTGCTTATATTTCATATGTATACCTTTTACTCCAGGATTCATTCTTAATAAAATCTGATGGTTACCAAACTGACCTTTGTGTGTTATATGTTGAAGTCATAATTCTAATTCCTATTTAAATCTAGCGATTTTATTCATTTACTATGTATTATTGAGATCATAATTTCTGTACAAAATGAGTAGATTGCTTTAATTTTGATTATATGTACTTTGAATATTTTAAAAAATAGTTAATAATGTGGTGTCAGAATATTGTAAAACTTACTTCTTTAGCATTTAACCTAAGTATTTCCTGTGGCAATTTGCATTCTGCATTTAACCTTTTTGTAAAATCAAATTTAACATTTAAAAATAATTTTCATAAATCACAAACTCCCTTTCAGTTACTTTGCTATGATCTCCATATATTTTAAGTGTAGTCTTCTGGAAAACTATTGTACAATTTTATAAGGAGAGTTATTCATTTTTAAATATATACCTATTTTTAATAGCAGTATGAAAAGTATTCTAGGCAGATATTATTGGAAGAACCAAGACATGAAATATATAAAGAAAAATAGTTTTTGGATGATTTTGCAGTCAGCCCTCTCCCTTATGATATAGTATGCTTTTGATGCTGAATGTTTGCTTAACTATGTTAGGAAAATAAAAGCCCTACTTTTTTATTGTTCAGTTCAGTTCAGTCGTTCAGTCATGTCCGACTCTTTGTGACCCCATGGACTGAAGCACGCCAGGCCTCCCTGTCCATCACCAACTCCCAGAGCTTGCTCAAACTCATGTCCATCGAGTTAGTGATGCCATCCAACCATCTCATCCTCTGTTGTCCCCTTCTCCTCCTGCCTTCAACGTTTTATTGTAAATATAATTATTGTGTGTCTCATCTGAGGTAGCTTCTAGAGATGTCAGCCATGAGTGATGCAGGACTTTTAAGTCAAGGTGATAGAAATAATGCCACAAATCAAAGCCCAACTGAAGATAGTAAGTGAATTTTTCTGTAGGGTAGGAAGTGTGATAGAAAGTGCCTTTAATTAAGTGAACCAAATATTTAGCTCCCTCTTGTGGCCACGGGGTATTACTCTGGTTTTTCTCACCATACAAGAGCCCCACTTGGAACTACTGTATACAGAAATTGAAATTGAAAATATTGGTTATCATTGGTGCTTTTTTAAAATTGAATTTTCTTCATGAAGCAAGTTAGTAGTGAATTTCCAATATAATTTAATTTATTAAAAAGGAATATAAAACATGAAGATGGAGAGAGATGATCAGTGAATTTGGGGATAGAACCAAGTATTTTCATATACATGATTGAATTTATTCTAAATATAGTCTATGTATAGACAGGACAAGTGTTATCATGTCCATTTTATATGTGAAAAATTGTGTTGAGAGAGGCTAAATATTCCCCAAGGCCGTGTAGTTTTGCTGGTAACCAAGACTCTAATTCAGTTCTGATTCCTGTCACTTCTGAAGATACTTTTGGAGAAGTAGTAGCTATGTTTATGGAGCTTTCTTCAAAGTGAATATTACTATGATAATATTTCCCCCATTATGAAATTTAATTCTAGTCATTTGTACTAGGGGTTCAGTTAATATGCTTTATTTTTCATACAAGTATATATATATAAAATATTATATAAAAATTATATGCTTGCTTTTCCTTTCCAGTATTCATACCTGTATTTTTTATTCTCTTGCACTAGCCAGAACTTCCAAAATGATTTTTAATGATAGATATAAAGTCGGCAGCTGCCTTCCTTTTCTCAAAATTAGTGAGCTTGCTTCTAGTCGCTTTCAGAAAAGCAAGTATCATTCCTATTCTCATTTACCAAGCTTTTTCTTTTTAAAGAATGAATATTTAGAATTTATACAATTCTTGTTTGTCACCAAATGGGCTATCATATATGGTTTCTTCTTTGAACAAAAGGTGACAAGTTATATTAGCAGATATTTTAATGTTGCTCTATAAGAGTTATGTGTATTTTGTCATATATTCTGTTATTAAAGACTTCAAATTTCTGAGGAGATTAAACTGTTCTTTGGCATTTGATAGAACTTGCTAGCAAATCTGTCTGAGCTTGGTATCTTTTTAGAGATGGTTCTCAGACAGTTATATTTTTCTGCCATGATTAGTGATCTGTTCTTTTTTTTTCTTTCTATTTCTTTAGCCATTTTTTAACATGTGTTCTTCCTGAAAGTTCACTATGTTGGAGAAATGTCCAAATTTCTTTTAGCAAAAAGTTTTTTTAATAGTATTCAATCTTAAATCTAAAAATCTGCATCTCTGTGATTATTTCCCCTTCCTTATTTATGTTATTTTATATTTGTTTTTGTCTTTTCCCCCTTTGTTTTTCTTCCTAAATGTTTGTCTATTTTAAAAATTATTTCAAACAAATAGCTCTTTTATGTTGCTTCTAATTTCTAAATTCAGTAATCTTGATAGTACTTTTTTCTTAATTCCTTCTAATAACATTCCTCAGGCTCCCCCCCCCCAACTTTTTCTGAATTTGTGGTTTAATATCTTATAATTTAAGTTTGAAAATACAGTATGGAATTTTTTTTTATCCTATGAATATGTATCAGCATAATCTTCCCAGTTCAAGATTATGCCATCTTATTTATTTCCTTAGGAGCTATTTTATAATTTAACCTATTAAGTTACCTGTGCCTTCTATTGAAATTCATTTCATAGTTTGTTTTTGTGAAAATGAAAATTTAGAGGGTCTTTAAGGTTTAGGTATACAAAATGACATGTATATAAATGAAATATATATATTGGCTTTTCAAAATAGTGAAGAAATAGAGCAGCCTTCTGGTTATCTATACTTCTTCATGGAGTTTATACTGTAGACAATTTTCTATTTTTTAAAGTTAATTATATTACAAATCAGTCTTCCCAGGTGGCACTAGTGGTAAATAAACCACCTGTCAAGCAGGATACCTGGGTTCGATGCCTGGGCCAGAAAGATCCCTTGGAGAGGGCATGGCAACCGGCTCCAGTATTCTTGCCTGGAGAATTCCATGGACAGAGGAGCTTGGCGGGCTATGGTCCACGGGTCGCAAAGAGTCAGACACAACTGAAGCAACTTAGCACACATGCATATATATTACAAATCAAAGGTTGTGACTCTGTTGTGACAGACCAGCAGAATTCTTTCTCGAAGGTTACCACCTTTAATTAGGACGCTTGCCTACTGGAGGGTATGAACTCTCTCATTTCTCTATTTTTTGATATTAAAAAAATAGCAAAGCATTGATGTTTGGATTCAGACAGTTTCACCACTTACTACACTATGTGTAAATTTTAATTATTTAAATAACTTGGGTGAATTAATTTCTCTGAGTCTTGGTTTCCTCATCTTTAAAATAAGGATGATATTGATAATTGACTGGGTTGGATGGTTTATATGAATATCATATATGGGGGAAATACACAGATTATGTTATAAAACCAATACAGTTATTATCTGTTATTATTTCTATGAAGTTACATAGTAATGAATAATAGAATGATGGCTTAAATTAGAAATAGAATAAAAGCAGTGGCTTAAAACATGTGTTTTCATAGCTCTCTACTCATCTGCCCTCTGTCCACAGAATTTCCAGTAATGCTTGCATAGTCTGGCAGGGAAGGGAAGAGAAAATATTCATCTTGGTAACAGCCTTTAACTAGGATCTATATAGGTTCTCTACAAAATGTACACATTACAGAACCTAATTGTCCCCAGAAGCTTTTAGAAAAGAAGGTGGAGTCGCTCAGTCATGTCTGACTCTTCGCCCCCATGGACTGTAGCCCACCAGGCTCCTCCGTCCATGGGATTCTCCAGGCAAGGATACTGGAGTGGATCGCCATTTCCTTCTCCAGGGGATCTTCCCAACCCAGGGATTGAACCCAGGTCTCCCACATTGCAGACAGGCACTTTACCATCTGAGCCAGAAACTTTTAGAAAGAAAAGAAATTGTCAGCCCTAAACTCAAGTGGGAGACTTGCAGAGAAGGAATTTGAGCTTGAAAGCATTCTGTCTGTCACTGACTCATTCTGTTACCTTAAATGCATTGTTTACCCTTTTTGTGTACTGTTTTCCTATGTCTAAACAAAGATGAGTATTATTACAGATGTCAAAATAGTTTGAGGAAGATTTAAAAATAGTTAGTTCAACAACAACAAAAGAAAACACAGAATCCATCCAGACAGCTGGGATGCTCCTCAAAGCTCCCCCATCAGCAAACCTCCTCTTTTATAACTGAGCAGAATGTGGCTTAGATTTAAAGGGATCAACAGCTAATTGGTAGCAGAGTCTAGATTTGAAGTGCTTTGTCTGCTCTTCCATTTCTCTTCTTGACCTGGATATTCCTCTGTGATCTGGCCTGTTGTATTAATGGTGATTTAATGGATACTGTTAACCATTAAAACTGAAAACATTTTGGTTTGGGTAAATTAAGCCAAAAGCAGAAATGGGAAGTGTTCTAATGCTTAAACACTAATCAAAATACAAACCAGTGGAAAATCTCTTTAAAAATGTTATCTTGAATGCATAGTCCTGTCTTTTAGCATTATGCAACATTTATTTACCAAATTATATTCTCTTGACTCACACCTCACTTCCAGTGTCAATACTTTATGTAAACCATTTGATCCTCTAAATTGAATTATTCACTTCCTTATTTTCTTAAACAGAAAATTCTAATTTATTTGCCTCTTGATGCTTTAGCAGAAACCCTCTCATTCCATTACACCAAGATATTCCATGATACTGTGTCCACAGATTTTTCTGTATCTTCCCTTCTAGTTGGTGGTTAGTTGTTGCTTCTGTTGTTTTAATGCTCTTTTTCTTCACAAGTTTGCTTCAAGGAATCCATTGTGCATGGGGAAAGCCTAACTAAATTGATTCCATATAAATAACTTTGAATCAGTGAGGCTCTGAATGAGGGTTAAGAAATTTAAAAACTGGGTTTAAGAGCAGCTTTTGATCCTCTCTTGAACGTGTGAGGTTACTGATAGAAGACTTCAGATAAGCAGTCAGTTTCACCTAATATGGCAAGACAGTAATTAAAAGTTATATAAAATCAGTTTCTTAATCTGGGGCCTCACTAGATAAACACAGAAATCTCACACCCTCCTAGATGCTAGTTGAAAAAGAAATAAGGCAAAATTTGTAATTAGAACAAAGTAATGAGGCAAACCTGCTTGGTTTCAAGTCCAACCCACCCCCATCACCTCTCATCTTCCTAAGTAACTTAAAGCTTTATAACTTTGAGAGTCTTTTGTGGCTACGCTGTGAATACATATCACTTTCACTTACTCCTCAAGGCCTAAAAACACTACAGATGTATCTTTGGAAATAATGACTTAGCTTGATAGCTCTCACTGCGCTGACACAATATTATGAAAACTTTGGCTCAAGATCTTTTGTCATGTGTTCAATAAGTCTTCTGAACACTCATTTCTCCTACGAGAAATTGATGCAGCCTTCTGTTACTTGTTGGATGTATTTTATACTTTCATTTTACATATATGTTTACATTTTTATACATCATTGATGAGCTTATTTTAGGACCACTATTTAAGAATTGGTGAAATCTTTGTTAAGTAGTTATGTCACAGATGCCCTGCAATCATCAGTGAGTTTTATATAGCAACTGTGTATTATGTTACAATATGTGTGTGCTGTGCTCAGTTGTGTCTGACTCTTTGTGACCCCTTTTACTGTGGCCTGCCAGATCCCTCCTGGAATTTTCCAGGCAAGAATACTGGAGTGGTTTGCCATTTTTTCCTCTAGGGGATCCTCCCGACCCAGGTATCGAACCTGCGACTCTGTCTCCTACCCAGCAGGCAGATTCTTTACCACTGTGCCACCAGGGAAGCCCCAGATATCATCACATGCTGTGCTATGCTTAGTCTCTCAGTCATGTCCGACTCTTTGTGATCCATAGACTATAGCCTTCCAGGCCCCACTCTCCATGGGGATTCTCCAGGCAAGAAGACGGGAGTGGGTTGCCATGCCCTCCTCTGGGGGATCTTCCCAACCCTAGGATAGAACCCAGGTCTCCCACATTTCAGGCAGATTCTTTACCATCTGAGCCACCAGGGAAGTCCAAGAATACTGGAGTGGGTATCCTATCCCTTCTCCAGGGGCTGCTCCCCACCCAGAAGTCGAACCGGGGTCTCCTGCATTGCAGGCAGATTATTTACCAGCTGAGCTACCAGGGAAGCCCAGATATTACCATAGACTTATACCAGTATTGCAAAGGATGTTCTTCCATGAGTTGAGTCAACCAGTTACTTCCAAATGATCCATTACTGCCTGAGATATTAGAGATGTGTTTGAATAGTCTCCATCCAAAATCTGTACTTCTCCAGGAGATGCAAGCATCTTTAAAGAAAACATTTGTAATTAATTTGCACATAAATATGTAATTTCCTTCATTTTTTTCCAGATTAAATCAGAATAGTAGTGTGTACCTCATGAGTATTGGGAGTGATGTGGCTATTCGTTAATTGTTTTTAATAAAGGTTTTACATTTTCAAGTTACTATGCCTTTACTTGTCTGTATTTCTTTGTAGATAATACATATGTGTCAAGTTCAGAAAATGATGAAGATGTATTAGTTACTACAGAGCCAATTCCAGTAATTTTTCATCGACTAGCAACAGGTAATGGGAATACACTATTTTCTTAAGTTCCTGGTTAATATTTTGTTGATTGTAGGTAGCTTTGTTTTTCGGTTTGTTTTATCCCATATAATAGATATTTATCTTTGGAATCTATAAGCCTGGTTCTCCGTGCAAATTTTCTATTTAACATCACTAGTTTGTTTCTCAACCGTTTTTTAAATGAATAAATTAGTACTTTAAAAAAGTCCCTTTTAAACACATTATGTTGATATTAGATTTTGTGAAAATATTTTCATACATAACAATACTGCTAGACAAACTGAATGTTTAAAAAACATAACACAACGTAGATTCCATGAAATATATAGTGAGAGCTGAAGGAATTTGTACTATGGCCACTTTAGTTTGACCACATTTTTATGGGCAATGAAAAATCAGAATAGTTTGTATATAATTCTCTAACATAAGATAATTTCAAAATATTTCTTAATTCTCTTGCAAAAAAGAATCATCTTTGGATCTTTTTATACTGAAACTTATAAATGTTTGGTAAATAGTATACTGAAAGCTAAAATGATCCTTTAATTATAAATTTCAGAATTAAGAAAGACAAATGACATTAACTGTTGCTTATCCATAAAATCCAAATTACAGAAGGAAAATGGCGAGGTATGTAAGTTTTTATGTTTTTTTATACATTTTATGCTTTATTATATTTCTTCAAAACAGTATAAATATATTTGAAATTTACTGTGTATTTGTGGTTAATACCATCATTGTTTAGATTAAGATTGCATGTAGTGAATGAAGTTCATGCTGCTGGCTTAGAGATTTATGTATGGGAAAGATAGTGTCCTAAAATTAACTACCTTTAAAGTAATAGAACATGTGATTTAAATCTAAATAAAGTATGTGCAAAACCTAACTTGTTTTCTGTATTTTCCTCTAATAATGTTGACTGAAGAACACTTATGTAACATAGTTAGAATAACTGTAAGTGGTGTACATAATTTTGATGAGACCTTTAAAATTTTATCTGTAAAAGATGGTCTTTCTAGTTAAAGGAGCACAGAGCTTGGGTATAATCTTACTATTTTTGGCCAGTGTTAAAAGAACAACAGCACCTTTAGGAAATTTACTTCAATCTGTAAATGAATACTGGGACATTAAACAAACAAAATGATGGTGGGGCCAACAATTCTTTGGTTTTAAAACTATACACTGGGACTTCCCTGGTGGTCCATTGATTAAGACTTCGCCTCCCAATGTTGGCGACATGCCTTGTGGCCATTAAAAACAACAACAACAACAACCTCATAAAAACAGCAGAAGCAATATTGTAATTAATTTAATGAGGATTTTTAAAATGGTCCACATCAAAAAAGAAAAGAAAGCATCAAGTAATCTTATAATAAAACAAAAACTATGCACTGAATGCCACCCTGCTTTCCTCTTAGTGTTATACCATTCATTCTGCACTTCAGTAGCCAAACTGAGCACCACTAATTTAGCATTATCATTGCTTAAACCAAAAACTATATTTATAAAACCCAAATTCCCTTTTCTAATTTTTGGTTTTATTTTCTTTAATAATTTGAAATTTGGTCTAGAAATTTAGGGATGATCACAAAACATCAAGTTAATAGATTCCTGTGTCTAGATGCAGCTACCTTTTTCTTAATTATTTTAACAGGGCCCTGGGACAGGAATAGTTACTTTAGATGAATTTTTGTCTAATACTGGGACATTAAACAAACAAAATGATGGTGGGGCCAACAATTCTTTGGTTTTAAAACTATACACTGGGACTTCCCTGGTGGTCCATTGATTAAGACTTCGCCTCCCAATGTTGGCGACATGCCTTGTGGCCATTAAAAACAACAACAACAACAACCTCATAAAAACAGCAGAAGCAATATTGTAATTAATTTAATGAGGATTTTTAAAATGGTCCACATCAAAAAAGAAAAGAAAGCATCAAGTAATCTTATAATAAAACAAAAACTATGCACTGAATGCCACCCTGCTTTCCTCTTAGTGTTATACCATTCATTCTGCACTTCAGTAGCCAAACTGAGCACCACTAATTTAGCATTATCATTGCTTAAACCAAAAACTATATTTATAAAACCCAAATTCCCTTTTCTAGTTTTTTGTTTTATTTTCTTTAATAATTTGAAATTTGGTCTAGAAATTTAGGGATGATCACAAAACATCAAGTTAATAGATTCCTGTGTCTAGATGCAGCTACCTTTTTCTTAATTATTTTAACAGGGCCCTGGGACAGGAATAGTTACTTTAGATGAATTTTTGTCGTTTGTACTTGAGACGCATAACAGATATGGTTCAGTTAATTAGAAACTCATACTTCAAGTATATTTAATTAAACATCCTTTTGAAAATTGAAATTTAAAGCAAATAATTTCTACACTGAAAGTTATCTTTGTACTGTATTTATATTTATATGCATAATTTGATTTTCATATTATTAGATTCAAAGTGCCCTTTCTTTCATACCATTATGTAGAGTTGGCAGTGAAAGTGAGAACAGTCTGGGATAAATAATGCTGAGGAATTTTTTAATAAAACACTGAATCAGTATGAGCTTGTCAGATGTTTTATCAGAACAAAATCAAAGTTGTACTTGATTAACATAGTTTTTTATATACATCAAATATTAAATTATAAAATACAGGTACATAGAGCTTAATGCACCCACCACAAAACTGTTACTATCTTTCATTTTTAGTTTATATTGCACCAAAAATGCTTTTATTTAAAATTCACGTGGTCTACACAAGACCTACCTTTTATGTCCATTTGTTAACTTTTTTTCAGAAGGAGGAAAACTAGTTTGACCATTAAAATTATCTTCTTACTCTATTATTTTAAGGAGTCAAGACAGAATAGCACAGTGGAAGAAGATTCTGAAGGAGATAATGATTCGGAAGAATTTTATTATGGAGGACAGGTAAGCACATGAGGTTCTCCAAACATCCACTCTCAAAGGTAGAAATAGCCATACATGTTCTAGTGGAAATCTGTGCTTGTCATCTGAAAGACCTATGTATTCTTCAAGGCTCTGTAACTAACAAGGAAATTCATATAATTTATCTGTTGCTCATTCTGTATATAGTTTCAGAAATTAAAGCTGCTTTTGCAATTCTTTGACTGTAATCATTTATTTACATTGAAGTTATCTGCCTTCATTACAGATGTTTTGCAGACAGCATCTTATCATACTTTTAACTTTTACATTTATCAAGCATATTGTGCTCAGTCAATATTTTGAAATGGTGACACTAATAAAAGCACGGATTGTTAGTTTTCAATGGAATGTGATTAACCTTTATAAAAATTGATGGGCCTTTGTTATCAAGCATCTTCATTATTTGTATTTACTGTCTTCCTTTTCCTTCTATACAAATGTAAAGTGTTGATCAATTGTTACGAAGAAACATTATAAATGATATACATGGAAATGGCACCACTGCATATGCATGCATTATACAAAATAATTCATTTTTTTTCTAGGATAATGTTGAAATTTTAAACTGAGCATTTGATTTTAGGATATGGCTGTATAATGTCTTGTTTTATTTTTGTAAACTTGATCAAATTTGCTTTGTAATTTGGATAGAATAATGGAAAGGTAATTTGTTAAAGAGATGCTTTAAAGCCAAAGTTGTTATTATTATGTAAAGAACACAAATCGATTTATTCATTTGGAATAAAAAAATTAGTAATTTGTCTATCAAGTGTATGCAAAGCAGTAGAGTTATGGGTGGACATGAACAAAACTAGAATTCTCCTCTTCAGGAATGCCTTACTAGAAATGGGGCATTTTTCCTAAGATTCTTTAACCAGATAACACTTTAACAGTATTTAAAATAATTCTTCTAGTTTTGATTTTTGTTTATACCACTAATTCTTACAGAGGGGAAGTAAAGGCTCTTTTTTCAGTCTAAAGGTTTTTCCAGAGTATCTGCCATTTACTTCACTCATTTTAACAGTGGTATTGTCTTCATATCAAAGTAGTCAGATAATAACCTTTTAAGCATAATGAATTATACCAGATGTATGTGAACCTAAGTACTTTAGTGAATATACTGCTGAATTATCTATATATTTTTTTTATGAAGGCAACAGAGAAAATGCCCATGACAGAGAACTACAGGGTGACCTGTTCAAGAGATTGTTTGTATTTTACTTTTTTTGTTTCTCTTCACCCTAAGTCACTCTTAAATGATTCCTTTCATCAGGTGAACTATGACGGGGAGCTGCACAAACACCCCCAGCTTGAAGCTGACTTGTCGGCAGTGAGAGAGATATATGGGCCACATGCAGTTTCTCTCAGGTAAATAAATACCTTTGGTGATTACAACTTAAAATTATTTGGAAAGTCATTGGGATTTTCTGTTGGAATTATTTAAGTGGAAATTTTCTCAGGCTCAATTATATTTGAAAGTATATGAGAGTCTGTTATGTTTCTACTTAAACAAAATGGCATACTTATGGCTATGATTTTTTTTTATTGTACATGTAGTTTAAGATTACATTCATTTCATTAAACAAATTAGTTATTTTGTAGAGTTAATTTGATAAAATAGCAGTCTTAAGTGGCATCATTATCAATTCCTGTAATAGATTTGGTCAGCTGGGCCCATGCTGTTATCATAAATCAAAGGCATATCTGTGTGAACAATAAAAGTAAAGAATGCATAACCGCTGGTATCCAGTCACGTTGTGAGAGGTAAAGTGTTGAAAGTGAAGGTGTTAGTGCTCAGTTGTGTCCGACTCTGTGATCCCATGGACTGTAGCCCGCCAGGATCCTCTGCCCATAGAATTCTCCAGGCAAGAATACTGGAGCGGATCACCATTCCCTTCTCCAGGGAATCTTCCCGACTCAGGAATTGAACCTGGGTCTCCTGTGTTGCAGGCAGATTCTTTACCATCTGAGTCATCAAGGAAACCCTTGTGGTAAGTAATCTGGTCCCTAAAAAAGGAAAGGAAAAAAAGACATAACTTTGTGCAATGTATGTTTGAATGATAATGTATTTTTTGCTGCAGTTACTTAATACATTATTTGGTGATAAATTTCCAGACCAATTTTTATTACTTTAATCATTCAGAAGACCCAACCATCCCTATTTAGTCTTTCTTTTCTCTCTTTAAGAAAAACCCTTTTTTGCCCTCATGCTTGTATCCTCCCACCAGTCAGATCTGATTATTTAGATTTTTTGTTTTCTTAAAGGGTGGTCTCTGAGTCTCCAGGCCCTTCTTACAGCCTGACCTCAGTTCCAGCCTCATCCAGCCAAACCAGGATTGTTCCTGTTCTCCAAATATGCTGTTTCCCCTTGACCTTGGCCATTTGCCCAACCAGTGCTTCCCTCTCAAACCCTGTTGCTGTCTTTTATTCAAGCCCCAGCCCAAAGGTCAGCTTTTCTATGAGCCTTCCTCGAAGCTCCAGTGCAGACTGGTTATTCTGCCCTTTGCCCTCCTATCACATTTGTCTCTTGCCTCATTTATTATTCTCTTCATGTCTTGTCATGACATGACAAGACTCTAGACTCTTAATTCTGTGCACTTTTTTGTTGTTTGTGTATTTTGTTTTGATTTGGTTTTCGATCCTGCTTTATAGCACAGGGCATGTATGAAATACAAACTGGAGGCTTCTTGATTGTTTTCAGTGGAACACCCATTAAAAATGTTCATATTATCTGGTTATATTCTTTTCAGTGGACATATGCAGATTTTGAGAAAGCAAACAAATACTTTTAGTGGTTGGGAAGTATAAAACAGCTGTAAGTTATTATTGCTAACTTTCATTTCATCTGCAGAAACAGAAACTTGTAACCCCCTGCAGCCTAAATAAGCTGGGGTTGTATACCCCAGACGGGGCTTCCTAGATGACGCTAGCGGTACAGAATCTGCCTGCCAGTGCAGGAGATGTTAAATGACGTTGGTTTGATCCCTGGGTCGGGAAGATCCCCTGGAGGAGGGCATGGCAACCCACTTCAGTATACTTGCCTGGAGAATCCCATGGACAGAGGAGGCTGGCGGGCTATGGTCCACAGGGTTGCACAGAATCAGACACATGGTGTATATCCTGTCAGCATAGTACGTATACCCAGACCCTCTTTCCTATTCATGGAGGAATATGAGACTGCAGTTGAGTGAGAGAGATAGGGATTATACTTGCAAAAAGCAAATCTTAGCAATTTTCAAAGTTTTAGCAGATTAGCTGTGATTATTTCACTGTTGATCTATGCTATGGCTGGAGGATAAGGAATATGGAGATTCAATAAGTATTATAGAGTGAATAAATGAAGAAAGCAATCAGTTCAGTTCAGTCGCTAAAGGACAGAAATGGTATGAACCTAACAGAAGCAGAAGATACTAAGAAGAGGTGGCAAGAATACGCAGAAGAACTATACAAAAAATGATCTTTACAATGCAAATAATCACAGTGGTGTGATCACTCACCTTAGAGCCAGACGGGAAGTCAAGTGGACCTTAGGAAGCATCACTACAAACAAAGCTAGTGGAGGTGATGGAATTCCTGTTGAGCTATTTCAAATCCTAAAAGATGATGCTGTGAAAGTGCTGCACTCAATATGTCAGCAAATTTGGAAAACTCAGCAGTGGCCACAGGACTAGAAAAGGTCAGTTTTCATTCTAATCCCAAAGAAAGGCAATCCCAAAGAATGCTCAAACTACCACACAATTGCACTCATCTCACATACTAGTAAAATAATGCTTAAAATTCTCCAAGCCAAGCTTCAGCAGTACGTGAACTGTGAACTTCCAGATGTTCAAGCTGGTTTTAGGAAAGGCAGAGGAACCAGAGATCAAAGTGCCAACATCCTCTGGATCATCGAAAAAGCAAGAGAGTTCCAGAAAACCATCTATTTCTGCTTTATTGACTATTCCAAAGCCTTTGACTGTGAAGAAAGCAATAGGGATTATCAATAAATTGTTCAGGGATTCCCTGGTGGTTATGACTCCACACTTTCACTGCTGAGGGCCCGCGTTCAAACCATGGTCAGGGAACTAAGAACCCACAAGCCGCCTAAAAATATAAATAAATAGTCTGAAACAATGACTGATTTTTTTTTTCTCTTTAGTTGAACTTTGCTTGAAATCTTAAAACTTTAATCACAAAAACTTTACCCTCTCTCCCATATACAGAAAGGTCTATATATGGTTAATCACGGGTTCTTTACCACTAGCACCACCTGGGAAGTTAAGCACTCAACACAGCATAGAATTTAACTACTTTTCATCTAAAGTATGTATCTTTATTTAGAGAATCACCTTACCACACATTTTGATTGCTTTTAAAATTAAAAAAAATTTTTTTTAACACATACTTCCTGCTATCTTTGGTAAAGAATCTGCCTGCAGTTTAGGAGATGCAGGTTTGATCTCTGGGTTGGGAAGATTCCCTGGAGGAGGAAAGGGCAACCCACTCCAGTATTCTTGTCTGGGAAATCCCGTGGATGGACAGAAGAGACGGCTGGCTACAGTCCACGGGGTCACAAAGGGTTGGACTTAGCAACTGAGGGTCACACACACATCATGCTGTCTAGGCCTCAATCATACCACTATTTATGTGTGAATATTTTTTAGCTTCTTCAGCAGGCATTTACTAAGTACTCATTTCTATTAGTACTTTCCATTATTAATAAAATAGTGATAATTTATGGACTGTTGAAATTAGATTACTGTATGGGATTTCATTCAAGTGAAGTATCTAAAGTCATAAGTGGTTTTGATTGTTTTCCTCTTTCCTCTTTCACTTATAAGTTTTGATTCAATTTAATCTTAATGAATGCAAGTCATGTTCTTGTCTGCTCTAGATTTTCCCCAACTACAGAGGATGTTTCCAGAATAAATAAGCTCCCAGAGGCCCCATGATATCAGTGAATCACAGCAGGACTAGTTTGATTTACTTAAAATAAATAAGAATGAATTTACCATCTCGTCTAAAATACTGTGGCTTGGCCACATGGGAGAAGGAGTAGTTAGGTCTAAGGTCTTGGAGTCATCTTTGCAAAGTTCTAAGTCTATTGAAAACAGACTGTTCTAATTAGCTGTTCTTTTACTTAATTGAGGTTTATAAGAACTTAATGGAGTTTGAAGAGCAAAAGTACCTCAATATGCATAATAGGCTATTTGGTATCATTTTTTTTTATGTGACATCTAATGAGAAAGGCAGCTAACCACATCTAAGTTCTCTGTAAGAGATGAAAATAACAGAGATTACCTCAATTGAGGCAAAACCCTTTTAAAGTAGGTGAAGGAAGCCTTAACAAAAATGACTGATGATAAATTTATTACTTAAGTAGGTAATTTTAGTTCTACTTGGCCAAGTCATTCTAAAACAGCATTCTGGTTGGGTTGAGCCATGCTTGTAAACATTGATGACTGTTTTAATTCATAGGCTCTTGTTAAAACAATGAGTTAGGTCTCTGGGGGAACACGATCAACCCTCTAATCAGTGTGAATGTGTTTCGTCTTGAATCATGCAACAAAATGAGGTTCTTTTATGTTTTCATTATAAATTTACTCCTATAATCAGTGTTCATAAAAAAATTGATCAGTATCATTGAAAACAATGTGAGATTAGTATTTTTAGAAAGTAGGGAATTACAGGTCACGAAATTCTCATTTGCTCAGGAATGAAATGATGCTGATAATTTGCTTATGATGTTTGAAAGTTTTACCCCAAATAAAATATCCTGTCCTTCATGGCCATCCATCATCCATTTAAAAAACTGAAGGCGTCTGAGTAATATTCCAACCTTTTGATTGTGACTAATGCTTAAAGTAGGTTGGAAGATTACAAGATTGTGACTATTCTGCATCTTGATCATTTTTTGTGGTGGGGTGATTGTGTGTTTGAAGTGAATGAATGCTTTTGGAGTCGATGTTTCGGAGGACAGGGCCTGCAGAAGGCGTTTTTAAGGTTCGAGGAAGGTGTAGTACTATCAGGCCCACCGCCCAAACATGTATCTCCTGGAAGAGAGAGAAAGAAAATAAAAGGAAAGAAAAAGAAAAGAAAAAAAAAAGTAAATCAGAGTGGTCCACTTTAAATGTCTCTGGATTTCCATAAGTAGTGGGTTAGTTAAAACAGCCTAACACATCTGGCTCTCCTGGGAGATGGCAGGATCGCATTTCACTAGCTCTTATAACATCAGCAGTGGACATGCAACCTAGTGTTGGCCAGTGAAACATGAGCCAGAGTGCTAGTGTGTGAGTTCCCACATCTTCAGGACTCCGCCACTCTCTGGGCTCCTTGGCGACTGCAGTGAATAGTGTTCTCTCTCTCCTTCTGATTCCATAGTAAGCAGG